TGGACACATTCTGCTCACAAGCCTGCCCTAAGCCCCGCAAGCACCACCTCCTGCCCAGACTCCTCGGGACAGGGGAGCCTTCCTATTTTGAGACTGGTCACAGTAGCCAGAGGCAGCTGAGCTCCGGTTTCAAGGCTTTCAAGCTAACTTGGAGTCTGACACCCAGAGGGTCACCCAGGGACCCAGTGAGCCCCAGCCCAGACAACCCATGATTGGCAACATAGCAAAATGGAAAAGGAAAGACATGCTCCTTGCCAAGGGCTTTCTCAGCACAGGCAAACAGTACTAACAGGACGTGAGAGCTGCCAAGGCAAAGCCTATCAGTTCTCCAAGGAAGAGAGAGCAGCCTAGAACAGCCACTCCTTGGCTGGCGGTGGCAGGGCTTCCTCTGACACAACTGGAAGTCACTGGATCTGGCCACTGGGGGACAAGTGGCTAGGCAGGACAGTGCTGTGGGACACAATCCATGTCCCTACCTCCATAGCCAGGAAACAGAAACTACTGACACCCTTACCCAGTTCCCTCTCTCTCAGACCAGCTCCATGAGACCACTGGGCAAGCTCTGAAGAGCTCTGGAGGGAAGTGTTTCCTTAATGGGGAAGGAAGAAGGAGAGCAGGAGGGGTGGGCTGGTTGTGAGACTCTACAGCTATGAAGAATGAACCCCCAGGCTCACTTTCCACTTGGGGCCTTTGCAGTTGGCTGTTCTTTTTTTTTTTTTTTCTCTTTGGGGTCAGTCTGCTGGACAGGACAAGGCAGACTGGGCAAGGGTAAAAGGTTGGATCCCTTCTCTCAGCACACAGGCAGACTGTTCTTGCTCTGGTCGTGGAATGTCCCCTCTTGGCTTGCCAGGCAATGATCAAAAGGCAACAAGGCACTTTTCCTTATTCTTCTTTGTGCTTCCTCCAATCCTGTCTCCCTACCACCTCCCCCCCTCACCCTGAAAACACACCAAAGCTAACTCCCATGCCCATGGCCTGCCTTGGTGGGCAGGGAGGGATGAACTGCCTGGAACTTGAAGGCCTCCTCTTGGAAGAAAGAGCAGTCAGGTGCAGAGTGTGTGGGGAACTCAGCCTCCAGTCTGCCACGCTGATGACTCAGAAGCTAAATATAGCGAGTGATATAAACAGAGCCAGCCACAGAGCAAACACAGGGCCCCCAAGCCCCAGTACACGCTCTCACGAACACTGAGCTTTCAGCGACCCCTCCCCCAGCTCCACTCTTCCCCCAGCACTGTCCTGCATAGACCTCCTACTCCTGGGACAGAAGATGGCTTCCTAGGAGCACTTCTCACTCTAGGACAAATCTCTGGGGACCCTGCACAGGGCTATTCTCTCTAGAGCCTGAATGGCCTCATTAGCCATGGTCTCTGCTCCAGAAGAAACACTCACCAATACAGAGAGCATCCTAAGGAAGCAATCAGGGACTCCCAGAACAAAGGATCCAGGATGCTGGGCAGAGAAGCTGCTAGGTGATGAGCCATGACAACACCAGTCTGGGTACAGCTTCCAAAAGAGTTCCCCAAGAGTTATCAAGTCAGATCCAAGCAAAACCCCCAAATTCATCGTGTACGTGCTCACACACTAGGCAAGCTTTCTACCAATGATCTACATCCTTGTTTCCTTTTTGAGACACAGTCTTACTAAGTTACCCAGGCAGTCCTTGAACTTAAGATCCTCCACTAGGTTTGTTAGTGGCATGTGTCAACTGCCCAAGCTACCATGGTTTCTTGTCTTTGTTTTTTTAAAGTCCTGAGCATCAAAGCCAGATGTTAGGCAAGTGTCTAATACCCACCGGAGGTACAAGGCCAAGCCAACAGTGCTTTGTATTACAATTCCCAGAGGCCCTTCACATCAACTCTGCGAGGTTAACACTGGAACCTGAAGTCTGAGTACGAGTAAAATGATTTGCTCATAAATACAGCTTGTATAAATGGTAAGAAAGGAAATTCTTCCCAGATCTGCTGCTTGCAAGTCCACCATCTGTACCATTTGGTGGACACTCACAGAGAACAGAGGTTAACACAGGCTCGGACATCCTGACCGGGGCAGCTGTGAGTTTGTCAGGAACCGAATCCGATCCTCCCTCCTCCACAGAGGAACTGCAGGGGCCAGCCTCTCAGAACCCAAATCTAAGTGCACCACTGTCGGCGAAGTATGAGAGATACCTGCTGCAGCCTGCCAGCCAAGAGGAACAGAACGAACCTTCCCCCCGACCCTGCAGAAAGAGATGGATACATGGGGAAGGTTGAAAATACTTTCCCTTACACAGGACACTGTGGCACGTACCCGTAATCCCAGAACTCAGGGAGGTTGAATCCAGTTTGTGTTATGTAGCGAGACCCTGGGGTACCTACCCAACCCCAAAAGGAAGGAAGGAAGGAAGGAAGGAAGGAAGGAAGGAAGGAAGGAAGGAAGGGGAGGGGAGGGAAGAGAAGGAGGGAGGGAGGGAGAGAAAAAAGGAGGAAGGGAACTTTTTATTTCCGCTCACTTTACCTCCAACCTTCTCATGGTTTAAGAACCTGAGGAAGTAGCAGTGAGGAGCTCCTGGCTGATTTCTGTCCATAAAGTCTTGTGTGTGAATCTAGAGGAGCCGCTCTGGACCGATGCTTGGGGAATCATGTTAGTCTTTCCCCTAGCCGCCACACTCCTCAGAAAATATGGTGCAGATTACAAATGGCCTGCAGGTAGGTATAAGGAATGTGGCCAACATAAAGGAACACCCAGGGCAGTCTGAAACCTGCTGCTCACACTCTGCCTCACCCCTGGCACACAACTGATCCACCCAGCCTGCCAGCATGCCATCCTACATGTTTGATGTGCAGGGAAAGGAGAAGAGTATTCATCACGGCGGGGTAAATGGAGGTAGAGCTTGCCTAGTGTACAAGGTCGCCAGCAACACACAAACTGCGCAGTCTCCAAACTTGACAGGTGACTCAGGCAGGGTGTGGGGGTGCACGCCTGGAATCCCAGCACTCAGGAGGCAGAGGCAGGAGGATCTCTGTGAGTTCGAGATCAGCCTGGTCTACAGAGTGTGTCCGGGACAGCCAAGGCTACACAGAGAAACCCTGTCTCGAAAAACCAAACCAAAACAACAACAACAAAAAAGACGTGTCTCGGAAGTTAAGGCCATCCTCAGCTATACAGCTACGGCCAGCCTGGGCTGAGACTCTCTCTAGATAATAACAATAACAATAATAATATAGTATAACAAGAAATGAGATCTATTACAAGGCTCAAAAGCAGCTAACACGCTCATACTGTCATGCAATTCTTCCTCCCACCTCTTGGGGGTGCTCTGGATGAGATGCTAGCACCTTATCTAGAACTGACCTGTGCTCTCAAAGTAGCAGCCCTAAACTGGAAGAATTCATGTGTATCAGCCAGTGAAGCACAGGGAGACCTCAGGAGAGGATCTTCTTCCGAACCGAGGTCCAGCTGTGAGGGGGCCCTCAGCCTGGTCTCCAGGACGTCAGAGCTCACTAACGAACAGGGGACTGTCCTGGGAAACAGCTGCTGAGAGAGGCCAGATTATTGTGGAATGAAGAAAGAATGCCTTCCAGATGTGCTCTAGATGAGCCACTGCGGCCCACTCTGGTCAGTGTGAGGACCAGGTGTGAACTGGGCTGAGCCATGGACCTGTACAATCAAGGTGAAATATGCAGAAAGGAGGCCAAGAGGCTGACAAGAATGAGGAGGGGTCCATACGTGGACCAGAGGGGACTCGCTAAACCAAGCTTGTACAGTATAATCACAGAGGGAATGGAGACTGTGGCTGGGCCACGGCAATCGGCCAGGCTGTCTTATAACCAAGCACAGGGACACCCACTTTCCAAATCACTTAAGGGCTGGTAAAAAACAACAACAACAACAAACCCATCAGAAATAGCTGTGGCCCCAAATCTCTCTCAGACTCCTTGGCATTTGGTATGCCAATAATCCCCTGTGGCCTGTTCTCAGAAAACTCAGTGTCAGTTCCTCTACCCACTGCTTCAGGCAATGGTATGTCTCTCAAATCAAAGTTACTGCTACCAATAACTGTTCTGGTCATATGAAGTTGCCCATCTAATCCAGGTTGTAATCAGCCCTGACAGTTATAAGTTCCGGTGATCTATACACAGACTCATGCATGTACACACACACACTCCCACGGGTAGAGATTCTGTTCATTGCTCTGCGTCGTGGCTTTGCCAGGTAGTGTCTATACCGGCAGAGATCCAGCCCCAGGCTCCGCGCCTGCCTCGGCAGCCATCCAGAAAACCAGCCTGCCTGGGAAGGGTTAAGCACCCAAGGCCCCAGCACAGACGGTGGCTGCCCTGTCAAGCAGGACAGCCTCCCATCCATGGCACAACGGGCTCCAGCACGAGCCTGCCAGCCGCCGCCTTTGTTGATGGACCCGGCCGCATGCTCGGCTGACACGCGATGCTCCGCCCTGGCGGGGCTGGTGCCAGGCTGCCGGCCAAGCACCAGGCAGAGCGCCCCGCCGCCGGCCGCGGGTCTGGGGAGACTCCGAAGTACAATCTCCAGAGTCCGGTGCCTGGGTTCCCAGACACAGACGGTGAGGAGGGGCTCCCCAGCTGGAAAGTGTCAGGTTTCAACCGGTTCTACCACTTTCCCCGACTCGGGCCCCAGCTCAGGACCCATTACCGGTTTCCCACTGTTCCTCGGCCAGGCACACCCCCAACTGCTCAGTTTCACTGCGGCGGTTCTGCAAGAGGCAAGCCCCCAACTCGGGTCTGGGGGCTTGGTCAGACCAGACTGGGAGAAGCCATCCCCTTGGCAGGAAGGGGTCGCAGCAGCTCCCACCTCTTGGGAAGCTGAGGAAGCGGCTGGAGCTCTCAAGGACAAGAGTGCTCATCTGATTGTGCCTATCCAGCCCATTGAAATGATGGTAGCTGAAAACAGTGAAACATATCCTGGGGCCTGGCAACTCCTGGGTTCCCAGCAGGCCCCGGCTTCCCAGCCCCAGCAGCCTGGATCCCCGGCCCGACCCTCGCGCCTACTTGCTGCATATGAAGCCGGTGGAATTGGTCTGCAATGCACTGGAGCTTTCTGGCGATCTGAACCTCTGCTCGATGTTGCCACTGTCCGTCTGGAGGCTGCTCCCCCAGGGGTGAGCCTGCCGGGAAGCTGGCAGGGAGAGGGAGCCGGTAGCCAGCGTTGCCTGCAACGATACAGGATCCACAGCTCAGCGTTTTCTGCCCATCTTCTCCATGGCGGCCCTTTCCGGCCAAGACCTGGGGTCACTGGTAACTCTTAGGATAGAAGAAAGAGGAAGCAGCCTGCCTTTACCAGGGCATTCTGCCAACCTTGGACAGCTGCCCACGAATATAAAAGTTGGTACAAGGGCTGAGAGTGTAGCTTAGAAGTAGCTGAATAGTTAGCACACTTGCGGGTTTAGGTTCCATCACACCCATGTGCACGCAAGCACACACACACACACACACACACACTCACACTTATACTGGAAAGACACAGAAGAATACAGAGCCTGCCTTCTCAGCACTCTACTCTCACAACCATGCATGGTGCAGGGTGCTAAGGCCAATCTTCTGTCATTTATCAAGCTATCCTCCACTTCAATGTGGCAGCAGGTTGAAGCTCTTCTCTGGGAAAACTCTCCAGAGTTCCTGGGTTGAGCAAAGCAGACAGAGAAAAAACAAAACAAACAACCTCCCCCTGCCCCCCACCAAAAAAAAAAAAGTGTCTTTATTTTTCTAGTACAGTTAGGGAAAGCTGGGCTCAGCGCTCAAAGATCAGAGCAGCAGCGGAAAGGCGAGTGAGAAAACTCCTGAGGCCCACAGAGCAGCCAAGTCGGCTCACCGAGTGCTGGCACCAGAATGGCCGCTGGGGGCGCCTGCCACCTCCTTCCTCCTCCCTCTTCCAGCCCGAAGCAGGCCTCCTCCAGCTTCTCAGACTCCCGCCAGAACTGCTTTTCCAGAAGTGCCCTATGGGCAGTTCCCTCTGAGATTAAGTGCAGCGGCTCCTCAGTCTGCTCCCGCAGACACAGCAGGGTGACCTCTGAGCCTCTACCCTCCCTCCACACGCCAGTGTGCTAAAAGAAGAAAACAGACCAAGTGTCTGATCCTGCCCTTTTGCCAGAGGAGGGCATATTTCTCATAAAACAAACCATTTAAGCCCACAAATGAAGGGGTCTTGTCTGATTTAGCCTTGGAAACATCCCTGAGCTGGCACTGGGCCCAGATAGGCCCCACCTCTTTCTCCAGTTCTCCTTCCAAGCACAGAAAATCCCAAACGGCAACTCGAAGCCACCTTCTGTCTTCAGGAACCTTCCGTCTAAGAGCTGTTAACAGTGACTGGGGGGGGGGGGAGGGGGAGTGTTGGAGGGGTGACATTCCCTTCCACCTCATGAAAGGCAAATCAGCACCAGGGCCAAAGGAGATTGCATGGACTCAAGGATCCCTCCAGGAAGAATAAAAAGAACAAAGCAACTTGCCCTTTTGGGGGCCCAAGCACAGGTAAAGAAGGCTGCTGGTTGATGAACAGATAGCCCAGGCTCTTCAGTTTGAGGAAGGAAATAGTAATGGGCAGGTTTGGGAAGGGAAAGTCCCCTCTTTCCCCCAACCTCTCGGGCTAAGAGCACTCACCGTAAAAGAGTCTCTGGGGTTCCTCTGTCACCCCACAAGGCAGCATAACACCCTGGCTTGGGGAAGCTGGGCTGAGGGTCTGAGTGGCCTTGTCTTCTTGGCTGATGGGCCGGAGCCCAGGACCACAGCAGTGGGTGAGAGGGAAGAGCTGAAGCCGACTGAGGGTGCAATCCAGTGGGCTCTGGGCGAACAGGTCAGCAGAGAGCAAGCTCCCAGGCTGTGTCCCTGGCTCCCCGTCCTCTGGCTGGAACACATCATCTTCCAGCTCCTCTACACACTGAGGTGGCTCCATCTCTCCTGTCAGAGAACAATGGCGGCATCTGGGATGCTCTGTCCTATGGGGGCCAGACCTAGGGATCCCCCTCCCCTTCTTCCTTTCCCACTCTTCTTATTTGAGGGAACCAAGCCAACTGCTGACGATACACAACCCTGGTAACAAAACACTGCCAAGGGTGACATTCTCTCCCCCAAAGTGCGGACCGCCTCCATGGTCAGGGCCCCTCCAGACCTCTTCCCTGAACCCACCAGAGCCACCCTTCCCCCATCCCCTCTGACCTAGGCTGCTCACAAAGTTTGACACTGAGGAGCGTGAGCAACAGCAGGGGTAGGTAGGATCAGGTGCTACTACTTGAGATACCTGGGAAATCTATAAGCAATACTAGCCTCTGTAAGTAAGTGTAGAGGCACAGAAGGGACAATTACTGACTGTACAGTGTTCACAACATACATACGTACACACACACACACACACATCCTAAGAAGGAACCTCCAAGCCTTCATTTAAGTGTGAGCTGAGAGCTCCAGGCTTTAGCAGCAAAAAAACAAAAGCCAGCAATTGTAGAGCAGCCAGGTTCCCTCCTAACGTGCTAAGCCCCGCCCTGCTGCACATCTCCACCCCCTCCTTGCACAACACAACAAACAGGCTCTGTGGTGTGGTGAGAGTGTCCTGGAACAAGGGGGAGGAACGACCTAACTTAGTCACTCCAGCTGCTGGGCTCAGCTCTCCCAGCGGAGCAGAGCTGTCTGCCCATCACAGGTTAATCTTGAGGGTTGAATCAGCCTCCAGCAAAGCGTCCAGCTAATTCTACTCACTGGTCTCCATGACTTCAGATTCTCTTCCACTCAGGCTCCCATTCCTGCCAAAGCCGAACCTGAGATAGGTGCAGCGAGCCTCACAGAAGGAAGTGAAATTCAGCCCTCTCGCTGCGCTCTCTCTCGCTGCCTACACGGTGGGGCTGTTTCTTAGTGCTAAGTTCCTCTCCCTCCACCTGAGGGCTCATGAAATTCTGCACTTGGAGTCACCCAGCAGCTTGAGCCTCCAAGCTGTCCCAGCCTCAGTTAGGGCCTCTGGGGCAACCAGAAGCATCAACAAGCACCTGAACAGGTTAAGGAGATGCAAAGACAAATTTTGTCATCTCAGACTCCACTGGAGATTCCCCGGAGACCTGACCCCCACCATCTCGCCTTTGAAAGACAAGACAAGCGGTTTGTGGGTGTAAGTCTTTAAAGAAATCTCGGTTAAGTTCAGAAATCTTCCTTTCCCAGATGCAAGCTCTGTGATGTCCTTGCTTCAACCCTCCTTTTACCCCATCTGATCCCTGAGCTGTCTGTGGACTTGTCTTTCTGCCCTCTTCCCTGGATATGCCATGCCTGCTAGGGTGGCACAGCAGACATCTTTAGGTATTGTTTCAATAAGTAAGGGGGAACTCCAGCTTATCAGCAACAGAAAATAAAATTCCCAGATAAAAGGACCAAGAGCTGTCACCTTGCAAGGCTTCTCTCCTCCTTCAAACTGTTCCCTGCAGTGTAGAAATCCCAACCAAAGTAGGGACCCTCCAGGGCTGATCACAGGCAGGAGTCATTGTCTTGGCGTTTCTTTTGAAGCCTATCACTCCCCTCCCCCTTCCAGCAAAGCCCCAAAGTTCAACCCCTGCCTAGACTGGACAGTGGGGGAGGTGCAGCCAGAGGGTGTGGCTCTGAAAACGCGGAGACCCCCTCCTACTCTGCACAAGAACTGCAGGTGGCTCTCCGGTTGCTGTGAGCCTCAGAGGGGCTAAGGGTAAAATCAAATGTAAACTCGGGGAGGAGTGAAGACCCTCATCTTCCCTGAGCTAAAGTGGTAATGTCCAGACTGGTAGAAAGAGGACGCTTCCTGAGAGCAGAGCCAGAGAATGCTTAACTCCTAGCAAAGGGCTTCAAGTCCGCTGGAGCCATCCCAGAACCTTGGCGCTCCAACGGGGATGCTCAATTTAATAAACTCCTCCTCTTCTTAGGAGACGGCACTAGCCAGATACCCTGAACCTCGATAGTAGCTAAGATCTTAGAACACGCGTGCGTGTGTTCACACACACACACACACACACACACACACACACACAGGCACGCACGCACACACACCTGGGTGACTCCAGGACAGGGTCTCAGCCTCCGAGTCGTGATGCCAGGGCTCTGCGCCAGGGTCCAGGGTGACGAGCACTCGGGGGGCTTGGCGCCCACACTCAATTGGGAAGGAGGGGGCAAACTCCAGCTGTTAAGAAGAGGAGCCTTCAGACTCCGCAGGGAGGCGAAATGCCCCACCCCACATCCAGACCCGGAGGGCAGAGCGTTCGGGGAGCTTGGCAGTGCACCGCAGGATCACCTGCCCACCTACTCTCAACTCTGAGTTCCAAACGCTTCCCGAAAGCCGTCTCTTGGAGCAGCACCCCCCAAAGTTGTGCTCTGCACCTCGTCCCCACATCCCAGCAAACCCCCCCCCCCCGCTTCCTCAGTCACCCCAGATGTTCGCAAACCAAACCCTTCCCCGGCCCCCCACGCGTCGTGCGACTCCGCTCCCCACTTCCCGGTGGAGAAGTACGGTCCAATTCCGCCTGGCCCCCGGCCGCCCGGGCGCTCACCGGGCTGCAGCGGGAGGCGGTGGCGCGAGCTGGGGCAGCCGCTGCCGCGGGCGCGAGCTGGCGCGGCGGGAGGAGGCCAAGGCGCACCGCGCGGTATTGTTTCCAAAATACGCCCGCTCCGGGCATCCCGCAAACAGCTGATGAGGCCCCGCCCCCCCTCGCGTCACTCCAACCCCTGACCAATGGCAAGTGGAGCTCCAAGTCTCAAGCTGGGCAGCTGCCAGGGACAGTCACCAATGTACGAACCTTCCCTTGGAAACACTGTAAGGGGCCGAGAGCATTTCTGACCTCCGCCAGAAGCGCAATTGGAGCACTATACCGGGGGAGGATTCGGTTCCTAACGCTGGCCCCAGAAGCACCAGAGAGTCCCTAGGTTCTCCACTAGGTGGGGGGACAGGGCGCCTAAGTGACTTTTGTCTACTTGGAAATGGGCTGAATTATTGCAGGGCGTCCAGAAAGCCTGCTCAGGAGAAGGCTGTGAGACTTCAGCCGCGGTTTGCAATGCGTAACGGAAATAAATAAATAAATAAATAAATAAATAAATAAATAAATAAATAAATAAATAAATAACGTCCTCTTGCCTGTTGGGCGGGTCCGAGGAAAGGTGGAGGAGAACACGTGTGTCTGTCGCTATAACCAAAAGACATTCGGATCCAGCAAATGCAGCAACTGTCCTCTTTTCTAGACTGGGCAAGAACCCTGGCAGAGGAGAGATGAAGGGGACAGCTTGGGCAGCGACAATGTTTATGGCAGCATCGGAAAGCTGTGCTCAGGCTGCTGGGAAAGCAAAGAGCAGCTCAGGTACTATGTGGTCAATTTCAGGAAGACTGCATATTTTTCTTTTCTGTTCTGTTCTGTTCTGTTCTTTTCTTCTCTTTTCTTTTCTTCTCTTTTCTTTTTTCTTTTCTTTTTAAGCAGTTTATTCACTTTGTATCCCACCTGTAGCTGCCTCCCTCTTCCCCTCCCAATCTCATCCATCCTCCCTCTTCTTCACCCATGCCCCTCCCCCAGTCCACTAATAGGAGAGGTTCCCCCCCCCCTTCCTTCTGATCTAGTCTATCAGGTCTCATCAGGAGTGGCTGCATTGTCCTCCTCTGTGGCCTGATAAGGCTGCCTCCCCACTCAGGAGGAGGTAATCAAAGAGTCAGCCACTGAGTTCATGTCAGAGACAGTCCCTGTTCCCCTTACTAGGGTCCCCACTTAGAGACTGACTGCCATGGGCTACATCTGTGCAGGGGTTCTAGGTTATCTCCATGAATAGTCCTTGGTTGGAGTATCAGTCTCAGGAAACACCCCTGGGCCCAGATTTTTTGGTTCTGTTGGTTTCCTTGTGGAGCTCCTGTCTCCTACCCCTACCCCCAGGTCTTTCTATCTCCCCCTTCTTTCATAAGATTCCCTGCACTCTGCCCAAAGTTTGGCTATGAGCCTCAGCATCTGCTTTGATACCCTTCAGGATAGACCAAACACTTCTTGAACACCTACTATGTGCTGGGAACTGCTTAAGTGCCAGACTTCTGCTGCCTGACCTCAGTGAGTCTATAACTGGTTTAGGGATAATATGCAAAGACTTTTGAATGTGGTCTTGAAGAATGGAGAACTTTTCAATAAGTAAAAAAACAAATAAAACAGTCCTGGCCGAGAAAGGGCAGGAAACTCAATAAAGCACTCATCTGGAGAGCTTGTCAGGAAGCAAGGACAGACCCCTCCACTAAACCATCTGGCATCTGAACCATGATTTAGGACATGTAAGTGTGGGTAGTTAGGTTCAGGTCAGATTGCAGAGGTGCCCCTGGAATACTAGGCAGAGGGAATTTTAAATAATTTATTTTTAATTGTATAGGCTTTGGTGTTTTGCCTGCATGTATGTCTCTGTGAAAATGTTAGGTCCCCTGGAACTGGAGTTACAGACAAGTAAGTGTGAGTTGCCATGTGGGTGCTGGGAATTGAAGCCAGGTCCTCTGGAAGAGCAGTCAGTGCTCTTAACCACTGAGCCATCTCTCCAGCCCAGCCTCCAAGAAATGTGTATTTTAGAAAGGACTGGCAGCAAATATTTTACAGAAGATGAGTTTTGGGGAAAACCGAGAGGGAGTGGAAAGCAGAAACAGTCCCCGCCACAGCCTAAATGAGCTCCGACAGAGGCATGGGCCAACCAGAGCAGCTGGCTACCCACCAGTCTGCTCTAAGATGTATGCTAGATGGGTTCGGGGCTAACAAAGGCACACTTAAGCGTCTTTGGTCATTTTTGTTTAAAAAAAATTTTTTTTATTTATTTATTTTGGTTTCTTTCTGTTTTTCTTTTTTAATTTTTTTAAAGGACTTATTTATTTTTACTTCATTTGTGTGGGTGGTTTTTTACCTGCATGTGTGTTTGTGTACTGCATGTGGGCCCCATGCCCAAAGAGATTATGGGGGCGGGGGGGTGGAATCCCCTGAAACTGGAGTTACCACCATGTGGGCACTGGAAACTAAACCCCGGTTCTCTGCAAGGGTAGCATGTGAGCCTCTCTTCAGCCCCCCTCCCCAACTTCTTTCTTCCTGAGGTAGCTCCTTGTGTGCACCAGGCTGACCTCAGACTCTCTATTTGGCCAAAACGGCCTCCTGATCGTCCCACCTCCAGCTCTCAGAAGCTGGGGCTGCAGGCATGCACTACCATGCCAGGCTCCTTGTACCTCCACTACCTATTTCTTATTGTTTGCATCTGAAAGAAGCAAAGAACGAAGCAGGCATACAGAGGGCTGTGGGCTGTGGCTGCCCAGTACAAGAAAATACTAATCCCAGAGGACAGAGATGAGGGGAAAGACAGAGAGAAGAGTCAAGTAGGATTGGCTAGTAGCCCAATCCTACCAGGAGTTGATAGATGTCCAACAAGAGATGTTGGAGCCGAAAGGAGGTACATTATTTTACCAGGAGGCTTGGCCAACTGAGAGTGTCAGAAGGTCAGAGTGACCTTGGACCCATGCCACATATGGGGAGATGAAGGACCAGTGGCTCAGAAAAGCATGAGGAATCCATCACGGCTTCCAATGCACTGAGCCCCACCTCCTTCCCTGTCATCATTGGCGGTCTGTTTGGGCCTGGGCCTCGGTCTGGCTTAAGTGCATCTCTTAGGGTCTTTTCTGTGAAGAGAATCTGTGAGCAAGGCAACTCTTAGAAGAGAGAGGGTTGGTTTGTTTATAGTTTCAGTCCATTATTATCATGGCGGAGAGGATGTCTACAAAAGTAGCTAAGAGCTACATCCTGAGCCACAGACAGAGTAAGCATGACTGGGTCTGACATGGGCTTTTGAAACTTCAAACCCAGGACACATTTCCTTTAACAAGGCCACACCTCCTAATCCTTCTAATCCTATCAAACAGTTCTACTCCCTACTAAGTACTCAAAAATATAAGCCTACAGGAACTATTCTTATTCAAGCTACAGCAGGGTCTTGAGTAGAACTAAAGGACAAAGAGGCATTTTGAGTCCCCCATAGACCCTGAAGAGTAAGAGTTCTCTTAACTCTCTCACCAAACCTACCTAGTTACTCCAGCAGTGCATAGCAGAATTGAGTCACAAGACTGGGAAGCCATGGAAAAGCAGAATTTTTTTTCCCCAAATTTGTAGAATCACCAAGCTCTCCAGAGTCCTGAGCAATAGGGCTATGAACCACCTGAAGGTGTCTAAACTGTGTTGGTGGGTGCACAAAGACATTCTTCTACTTTAGGAGGGATTAAGAATCTTCTGGGTGGGGCTGGAGAGATGGCTCAGAGGTTAAGAGCACCGGCTGCTCTTCCAGAAGTCCTGAGTTCAATTCCCAGCAACCACATGGTGGCTCACAATCATCTATTACAAGATCTGGTGCCCTCTTCTGGCATGCGGGTGTGCAGAACATTGTGTACATAATAAATAAATAAATCTAAAAAAAAAAAAAAAAAAAAAAAGAATCGTCTGGGCTTGGTGATGCTCACCTGTACTGCCAGGAAGACTCTGGCAGAAGATCAGGAGTTTGGGGTCAGCCTGGGCTATCCAGAGAGACCTGAACTCATAGATAAATAAATAGAAAGTTAAATATCACTCTTATAGGAGAATTCAGCTGGAGATCCAGGAGAGATCCTTAGTGAACCTAGGAGCTTGCAAGGTGCTAGGAAGCTCATACCCTCCAACAGTGTTGCTCTTGTAGACTTCTCTTCAGCCTGCTCCCTCAGGCCAGTTCTGAAGGACACTGGTGGCTTGCTATCTGGTACCCTAGACCTTTAGGGTCAAAGATCAGGAGGCCCAGTCTTCCATTGAGAGGGACCAGAGAAGGGATGTCAGTAGTAAAGGGGTCAGGGAGATTAGGAGCCCTACTCCAGCCACTCATTATTGTCAAGGAGGACCCCTCCCCCTCCTTGCCCTTTCTCCCTCGGCAGCTCTCGGAGACAGGGCAAGTGGCAGAACCTGCCCTTTGGGGATCTGGGGTGAGTCTTCTGATGTACAGAAGCAGCAGCTTAGGTGGAGGAACCCCGGCCTTTGGGCTCCTGAGCAAATAATGCACTACAGCACAGCAATCTCACTTTCTGACAGTTTTCTCTTTTCCCTGCCCACCTCCTTACTCCGGTTTGTTTGTTCTCTGCTTACTGATGCTGGCACTGCAGAGAAGCTCCCCAGAGAACAGCATTGGCCAGTGGCTGAGGGGGAGGAGAAGCCTCTGGACAATGCCAGAGGGATGCAGCCCTCTGCAGAAAGCAGGCAGGAGCCCTCGACATTGTTTTTTCACCTGACAAGGAGATTGGGCTCAGAAGCTCCAGTACCTGGATTGCTGGGAAGGGTGGTTTTTAAAAGCCCGGCTGACAGCTGAATGATAGGAATCACCAGGCAAGCTGTACTGGGGTTATTGAGGTTTGTAATTTAACCAGAGAAGGGTTAGTTTGGAAACTGATTTATGTAATGTGGGGTCTTGCTGGGGAAGTCCGTGGTCTTTTCCTCTTGACTCCCTTTAGGAGGGATTAGGCATGTAGGAAGACTAGGGACCTTCAAGGCCTAGGGGTCCTCTCCTTTTCTGGATTTGCCTTGACCAATTCTGTCTCTATGCATCATTCTGTCAGTTCACAAAATAATAATAATAATAATAATAATAATAATAATAATAATAATAATAATAAAACAAG